CCCCCACCCCACCCCTCCTACACATGAGCTCCCCTGAAACGGCACAGATCTGAAGTCTGCCTCTCCACACAGATCCGTCCTCAGAGGCCTCAGCTTCTCCACAGAACTGACTTCAGATCTCCACATTAAAACCTGGAGCCTCCTGATCAGATTAGCTCAGGAATAGGATTAGTCTTGACGCAGATGGAGCTCAGGGACAGACTTCATCACTTTGTTCCCACCACACACAAACACTGTTCTCTCATTTATTGCATTCAGTGCGTGCGCACAAACCTGTCTGCCGACCTTGATTTCAGTGATTTTTGTTCGTCGTCTGCTCAGACGTACTGCCAGGAGGATCAGAACTGTCAGCGAGGCTTCAGGACGCGCAAATCTAACAAAGCTAACAAAGAAACATTACACGTCTTCTCACCAGAGTCACAAAGGTGAGGATTTTTCTAAATTATATTTTATTGTTGTGGAAACACTTCAAAAAAATTGCAGAATAAATTTGACATTGCTATTGTGTTTTTTTATGCTTCCACATGTTAATGTCAACTTTAAAATGACTTATATTTGTGAAACTGGTTATTTGTCGTGTTTTCATTAAAGCAGGGCTGTTTAACTAAATCGCTCCGGGGGTCTCGGTTACTCGAAGCCAACAGCTCGGGGGGCCTGCCCATTAATGGTAGGTGAAACACTGCATAATTTGTTTATTTTCTTGCTTTGAAACATACATTTTAAATTTGAAATCTTCTTTTATATTAAATTAAATAAAGAATAAATAAATAAATAATGGTAGGCCGGATGGAAGTCACCCGCAGGCCTCCTGCTGAATAACCCTGTATTAAAAGTTTTATGTTTCATTCAGAATTTTATCATTTTCTCTAAGCTGAGACCAGTAAGTGAACCCAGATTCAGCCCTTAAATTAGCAAAATACTAAACTCAAATCTGTTTAATTGAAAAGAAAAAATGCTACCGTAATAAGTTTTATTCACTATATTTCTTCTGAATTTTAAATTTCTTTTTTGTGTCGTCCATGGTTCAGGTTGGAGCGCTCTGATTGGCTGAGTGTGTCACAGAGGGGTGTGATGCATCCAGTTGTGGACGAGACAGCCGGGGACCTCCCGGTCCGAGATGTGGGTCTGATGAGGGGAGGGCTGATGCCAGCTGTCCCAGGTTTGTCTCCCAGCCTGGATTTTTGTTTATAAATGTTATGCAATCAAAATAGTTTTATCATTCATTCTTATAAATAATAAGTTATATCCAAATACTTGTAAATATTTTAATTTGCTGTTTCCAGATACCCTACGTGATCCTAGGGCCTGGAAGAAGCATCATTTCATGAAAAAAGGTAGGGAAAATATCGTAAACACTTCCTGTGTTTCCTGAAAGCAGACAGGAAACACAGACAGGATTCCATGCAACCTTCAGGTGAAAATGAAGACCCCAAACCCAGACCCAAACCAGTGGTTATTCCGTATGTTGCGGGTGTTTCGGAGAAACTGAGACGTTTATTTTTCCAATATTGCGGGGGTCAGGACACCCCCCCCCCCCCCC